AAAGAGACACAGAGATGATGTGACAGACCTTACAATCCAGCCAGCAGTATTTTGCTTTTAAAAATTACTGATAAAGAACATACATAAGAGGTATGATTAGAAAACACAACATATGAGTAGAAGCAAGCAAGCCTGTGAAGGTAAGTGGAGCTTTCTGGGTTATTGTACTGTGCAAAGATGACAGTACACAGATCCCACAATTTTCACGAACTACAGCTGGCACTGCTGCAGTGGGTCTCAGGCCATATAAAGATCAGTAAGGGCATCCGTCCTCCCTCAATACAGCATTACCTCAGGCAGCACCCTGGTAAAACTATACTGCTCTCTAGTCTGCAGCAGCACAGATGACTGCACCACAGCCCTTTCCACAAGAATCAAGTGATTTGAATCACTGCCTGTAATCCCAGATGAATCTGAACAACATATTACATATATCTATAATGCACATAAGAAGTCAACACTGATTTTAAATTACCTGCTCTGGAAGGGATTCTGGTCAGTCCCATATGGACTTAAGAGTTATGCTAATGATTCATATCCACTGATCTGTGCTCCTAGAAAAGCACCGCTTGTCTTAATTCCCCTTTCCAAATTAATTTTAGTGTATGAAATACAGAACATCATCATGTCTACAAGAGTTATATAGGATATATCAAATTTACTATTTTGATTGGCTACCTAAGCTTTCCAAAAGTCAGTTTCTATTTATAACTTGATTTGCATTTGAATCTCACGCTTAGGTTAAAATTAATTTTGAGGTCAATGTCATTCTTTGAGAAAAACTGAACAGCTAACACTTAACCATTTTTGAGGAACAAGCCTGCTTTTAATCTGTTTCTTTTATTCCTCAGGGAGTTTATCTACCCTTGACCATAGCAGTTTAGTAAGACTGGTCAGCTGGAAGAGAGGTGAGATTTTAATCATTAGCATGGTGTCAAAATTTGAAAGGACACTTCACTGCCCCTTCCCCCCCCCCCCAAAAATGCTTTGTGAACCAAAACCAGGTTCAAGAAAGTTCCAAAACAAAAGCAATAGTATATGCAAGCTGAAGTCTTTTAGATGTCTACTATATGTCTACAAAATAAATACAATATACATAGTATTAATTGAAGTAAGATTCCCCAACGCAAGAAATTGCTCATCAAGGTACTTCAATATGGGGGTTCAGTTAATTTCCTGAACATTCTTTCATTTTTAGATGCAAACTTACTTTTATCATACATTTACATTCATTGTCATGGATATGGGAGCAACTAAATTTTAGTGGAAAAAAGTGGCTTCAGAGGAAACCAAGAAGTTTAGAATTGCATGTGCCAGTGTCCTGGTTTCAGCTGGGATAGAGTTAATTTTCTTCCTAGTAGCTGGTATAGTGTTGTTCTGGATTTAGGATGAGAATAATGTTCATAATACACTGATGTTTAAGTTGTTGCTAAGTAGTGTTTACACTAGTCAAGGACTTCCCCTGCTCTGCCAGGTGCACAAGAACCTTGGACAGAGCACAGCCAGGACAGCTGACCCAAACTGGCCAAAGGGCCATACCATATGACGCCATGTGCTCAGTATACGAGCTGGGGGGAGTTGGCTGGAAGGCAGGGACCGCTGCTCAGGGACTGGCTGGGCGACGGTCGGCAGGTGGCGAGCAATCGCATCGTGCATCACTTGCTTTGTATATTATTATTACTACTACTGCTACTATTTTACTTTATTTTATTTCAATTATTAAACTGTTCTTACCTCAACCCACAAGTTTTCTCACTTTCACTCTTTGGATTCTCTCCCTCATCCCACTGGGAGCGGGGAGTGAGTGAGCAGCTGTGTGGTGCTTAGTTGCTGCCTGGGGTTAAACCACAACAGCCAGGTTTCAGGTAATTTCAAATTCACCCAGTCGTGTCCATGAACTCCTGGTATTGCAACATGAAAGACTCAAAAAGATGGATTACCTCAGCAATTCATCTGAATGAACACAGCTCTAAAGTGTTTGCTGTGAGTTCATACTGTAGAAGATACTCTTTCAACAAAACTGAACAACAATGAAAGATGATCAGATCACAAATGGACTGAAAAATAGAAAAATATATTTAACCAACAACTCAGTGTAAACTATTTTGGTATTCCTGGGCATTAACACACCTCTATGATAGAGGTACTATAAAAAACAAGAGCTAAAACTCTAGACTAACCAAACAATTTTATGGGATAAGAGACTATTTCAACCTATATAGGCTTTTGGTCTTCAAGTCTTTGTGAAGATTATCCGCTGATTTGCATAATTGTTGGGAAAGTTCTCTACAATGCTACTATCAAGCCGGTGGAGTATACATTTGATTGTCCTACACGCACTGAACCAACAGACTCAAGCATAACTATCAGGCCCCAGTAGCCACAAATGACTAACAAATTAATACTTGGACATTCTCTTTGGATTCCTGTTAAACCAAAAGTCTTGAGAACAGTTTTGCCAAATATGAGAACAGCAGCAAGTTATCAATAATTGTCTATAAGACATGGGTGTGACTCTGCCTTCAGGGTATCAAACATACCCAAGCACTAAAAGCCTGCAGGATATGAGCTCTGAATAACACTACAAAAAAAAAAGAGTTAAAGAGGTTGTATCTTTCAAATTGACGGTCCTGAGGTCCATCCCCCCCGTTTCATGTATTTGCTTACACTTATGTTGGAAACTGAACTGCTTGCAGCTGTTTCTCAGATGAGTCTAGGACATTTCGAAGTGAGACAACAGGGTAGTATTATGTAGGACAAACCTGCAAGTGTTACACTGCATTAGAGCACAAAGAACACGAGACCTACCTACTACAGTATACATCAAAAACTTCCATCTTAGAGTTAAAGGAGAACCTCAAGTAACAAGTGTTTCCTAAAGCTGAAAAACACCAGGTCATTCTTAGCTTAAGACTAAATCCTTGAGCAGGTGGAGTACATTACAATGAAAATCATTAACTCCTACCTGGATAGAAGTCTGTTTCAGTACTGGTCGATAGGGAGTAAGAAATGGCCAGATATCTCACCCTGTTCTACTAGGCCAGTGAACACTCCTCTTTATCAGGGAGCGTAGTGATAGGATGAAGGGTAATGGTTTTAAACTGAAAGAGGGTAGATTTAGATTAGATATTAGGAAGAAATTCTTTACGGTGAGGGTGGTGAGACACTGGAACAGGTTGCGCAGAGAAGTTGTGGATGCCCCATCCCTGGAAGTGTTCAAGGCCAGGCTGGATGCTGGATGTGGCTTTGAGCAACCCGGTCTAGTGGAAGGTGTCCCTGCCCATGGCAGGGGGGCTGGAACTAGATGATCTTTAAGGTCCCTTCCAACCCAAACCATTCTGTGATTCTAGGATTCTATTACTATTACAACAGCCAGAGGCAACCAATTCCTTGTCCTAAGATCAATCCCTCTTGTATAGATAATTAACCTGCTGTGAAAAAAAAAAAAAAAACCACACCGCACAAAAAAAAAAAAAAAAAAAAAAAAAACACAAACCCAAAGGCTTTCAGCCATCACACGTAACCACTGGGACTGCAAGCCTGGCCTCAGCAGTTCCCACATCCTTACACTCATAGGTTAAAGCACCTCAGAGAACCACTTCCTAGCCATGCTTCCTCCTCCCCTTCCATGGGGCCAGAGGGTAGTATCATAGTCTGCTGGCCATGGTATGAAGGGCTGTAAAGGAGTGAAAGGCCCCCAGTGTCCTACCCAGCTGTTCCAGTGACAAAAACAAGACTTATTTCCTGATCACTTCAGTATCACCTAAATGAGGGAGGCCAATGCAGAGGGCTGTCCTGGGTCCACCTTCCATCAGCACAGCCTTGAATCCATACCAGGGCTCTGGCAGTTGCACAAAAAGCTGGATCAGAGAACTGATTTGGTTGAAAACTTACCACATTTTCATTTATTTTTTCAGGTCAGTTTTCAGCCAGATCATATAGCTGTACAGAGCTGAAGGCTGACACAAGGAAGGCAAATACCTTTGGCTCAGAGAACGTAGGATCAGTTCCCTCCACAGCAGCTCAGTGCTTAGGATAGCTAAAAGTGGCTATGGAGACATTTCCTGACCTGATCAGCCATGGAAGGGAGGCCTGCAGTCCTTCCTCACCCCCCCAGGCTATACCACTAAGTCATAGAGCATTTGCAGAAGTAGAAGATAAACACCCCTTTGCACAGACACACAGCCTACCCCTCTACTTCCAGAACTAGTTCTGGTTTTTTATTCACAGTAACTAAGAAGGAAGGGTTTCTCTGTAAGTTCACCTGAAAAATCAAGATGACAGCGCTGTGAAATATTCTATTAAGCTGACAGCATTTCTCGTGTATGTTTTGGCTTGTTATACAGTTCGGAGCTTGATATTTGTAAACAAAAACAAAACTGACATAAATAAAGGATTTTCTCTCTTTTTTTCATGGCATAACTCCTGGAATCGTGCCATATTTGGAAACAACAGCTCCAGAAAGTTAGTGCTTCCATCAGTCTGGACCTCCACAGGAAGCTGATATGTTGTAAAGTCCTGCTCCTAAGCAAGAGCTCTAAGATAGAAATTACTTTATCAGCCTCCTGAGCTAGCACACAGCACACCGAGGGACATGTCAGTACTGAAGGAAGGAGACTGGAAATGCTTCCAGTACTACTGCTTTCTTTTAATAAATAGTCCCACAAACACTGGTATTGAAAAGGCTACAGGAAAAACAAGAGAAAACTTCCCAAGAAAATCAAAGTGAAGTGAAATGGCATATTTAAAAGCTTAAAATGTCATCAGACAACCACACCTATTAAACTAACCAGTTACAAAAAGTATCAGACAAACCAAAAATGTTAGACAAACGTTCAGAAAAAGCCCCAAACAATATACGCTATCATCAAATAAACTGGCAAATTTTAGGAATGTTAATCAAGAAAATACTTTTAAGTGCTTGATGTTATGATCCCTTACAAAAAGTGAAGGTTTTCAAAGTAACAAAATGTATTTGATACAACATTAAAAATACTTACAACTACTCCACTCTTGGTGACAGTTTCCCGGTATGTAAAATTGCACACTGCCCAAGCTAGGTAATACGTGGACATGAGAGGGGTCTGTGAAAAGTGATCTGTAACCCATCCATCTTCTTCAAAAACAGAAGTTTCAACTGGCATGTTGGACAATGATAAGTAAGTTGCTTGATGCCTGATGCTGATTTTGAAAGTGGCCTTGTAGATGGGCTCGTCAAAGCAAGGAAAGGCTTTTCTGGCATGAGTAGGAGAAAACTGTGTAACACCGAGAAACCTAGAAAAGAAGCAAACAAAAAAACAAAGCAATTACTAACTGTGCACAGCACTTGATTAATGCATGTACCAAATAAGACATTGCTTGAGTATTGTGGTTTAAGGAGCGGGAGAAAACAAACTGTACGAAGTATACAGTGTTTGAACACTGCTTTATCACTTTCTTATTACCTGTACCACAACGCAATTGATATAAAGTAATGGTCTACAAATTTCCTACAGATTTGCAGACACCACACTGATGTTAAATAAATAATCCCTCGCCTCGTATCAAACTTCAGGTTCTAGCAGTTTTGTTCCTCAACATGCGGAAAAAAAATTAGCCAATATTGGTTATACGGTGTAAAACAAGCCGATTCCTCAGTTCAAACCATGATTTAACAGCCTTCGGGGAGTCCACTCTGTCCTGAGACACCAACAGGGCACTTTGCCTTTCTTTGGGCATGAGAACTTACGGTCACATAGTGCACTCAAGAGAGTCATTGTTTTCCACTGCTGATTACTTCTGTACCGGTTGCATGTAGGTCTGAGACACGCTACTATACAGCACTGCTGTGACTGTGCAAGTCCAAAAAACCATTCCGTGAGCTTTGCAGAATTACAAATATAAGCAAATGATTAAACAAGCAGAGAGTAGTTCACCATTCTTCTATATGTGCTTTTCTTTTCTGGTGTATTTTATAGAGAACAAATTGATGTTCTCAGTTAATGCGTCAAATTATGAAAAGACCTGTGAAGGAGGAAGAGACATTTATTATGCCACTGCAGAGAATAGGAAGGCTTTAGTTTGATAATAAAAATCTGTAACTGTTTTCTTTGGAACTAAGGAGATTTTAAGCCAGATAGAGAATAGGATAGAGACTTATGTTTACACATTTGGAGAAAACCCATGTGCGATGATCTCTTTGCAGAAAGAAGAAGCGACACTTAAAAGGTTGAATTATGGGGTTCGATAAGAATATTTTCTGGAGGCACGCAGGATGAGAAAATGACTATGAGCCAACTACGTAACTGTAAAGGTAGCACATATGTAGGCTTTTTGACTGGTGCTGATTTACGTCTCACTTTCCAAGGTTCCATCAGTGGAAATAACCATGCAATTTTAGATACAAGGTAAACATTTATCAGAATTTTAGAGGTTGACTAATCATCTGTTATTCCTCTGAGGGAAGAGGATGGGTGGATAGATTTGATATAGTGAAAATGGTGGCACCTATTATTAATCAGTCTGTAAGCATTATTCTGCAATATGATACTCTCTAATGCCGAGGGAGGAAAAAATAGGTAGCCTATAAGGAAAATAAAGTATCTAATTAACTTTTTCTAAAATTTCTTGGGGTTTATACATATTTTGGAGCATTTTTTTATTAAAAAAAAACAATGAAGAAATAAACTTCCTGAAATGTTACACTTTTATCTTGCTATAGTGCATCCACATCTGACAGAACTAGATATATGTTTTCTGGTGAAATTATCACCTCTTTCAAATAAGGCTAATTTTTTAAAAACTTGAAAATTTTTTCCACCACTGAAACAGTTTGTCTTTTGTCTAAAACAAAAAGCTTTATTTGGCTAGTAATTATTGAAGGAATTCATCATATCGCATTTTTCTTGTCTCATTATAAAACATGGATTACTAAAATCATAATTCTGCATAAGGTTGCTAAATATAAGGTAAAAAGTTGGTGCCAGGTGTTCCAGCGTTAATCCAACAAAATTCCATATTATCAGTGGATTTGCACCAGTGCAACAAAGCCAAACCAGCCAATTAAATGAAGCAAAGCAACTTAATTTATATGCAAAGTATTTCAAGTGGACCTGATTCTGCATTCTAGGCACGCTCTAAACAGCTACAGACATCAACAGACGCTTCAAGTGAGCATGGAAAACTGTACTGGCCTGTTATTAATAAAGCAAGAATGATGAACTTTCCTCTGCAATTAACAATTTTAATGAGCTCAGACACACATGCAAATGCATACTTAGGGAATACTGTACATATTCTGACACTCTCTAAATAAGGAAGTTTTTTTTTCCCCACACTTCTTGGAGATCCCATCAGTAGTCTTTTAATATTTGTTACGTGTTAGGCCATTGAAACAATCTCTTCACCAGCTAACAAAACCCAGTAAACTCTGCATCTTCTGTATTCTCACAGATAGCTAGATATATCCGCATACACATAACTGGGCAAACACTAGGTAGTCAATATTTCATACTAAAAATACATCCACTACCAATAACAGTGATATTTATAACATGTGCATTACTATCAAACATCGATTTGCTTGTTGTGCCATAAAGCAAAATAAACAAAAAGTTAAAAACTGCTTCACAAAGACTAAACCCTTACACATGTTTAAAAAACAAACAAACAAACATTGTCTGTGTTTATCTATTTCTCTCTGTGTTAGGAGGAAAAAACAAGCAACACTTCTACAGCATGCCAGAAGTGAAGACCAGGCTGAGCATTTCATCCATCTCTCTCCACACCTCCCTGGGCACTGACATTTTTATCTCCAATTCCCCAAAATATCACCATAAAAAGTTGTACTTCTGGGAATGACAGCCTTGCAGCCTGTCTTCTCAGCATACCCACGGCAGTGATTTGCAGGTGTTTTAATTCCACCTCATCTATTAAAGGAAGACATGTGTTTCCTCAACAACCTATCTATTTTGACATCTTAGTTGTTATAACATGGAAGAATATGTCTGTTTGTTTTGTCTGCCTGATGTAAGAATTTTTTTTTGCCTTTTCGTTTATGCCAAAGTTTGATGTTCATTTAAATTATGTGTGCATATTCTTATGGTACTCTACAGTAGCTCTGTATTAAATGTCTGTTGATTGCTGCCAGTAAATTCTGGCACATAATGCAAAGTAAATTTGTAGCATATCACTTGCATTTCACATTTCAATTAAAGTAGCAAAGATTTCAGTAAGAAAATAAATACTTTTATGCGGCTATCAACATTTCAGGCTGATTTCTGACTTTCACCTGTGAAGACCTCAGAAAATGAACTAACTTTATGAAAAAAAAATGATAAAGCGAAGGCATTACTATGTTTGTGAAGCCTCACAGTTAGCCAGAGTTATTCACTCCTCATGTACAAAAAAAGTGAAAAATGATGGTTTAGACCCGTTTATAGCAACCGCTACTCCAACAATGTTGCTGTATTTTAATCGAATATAAAGATGTCAAAAAGCTCAAGTCCTGCTGGAACATCAAGGTCTCTCAGAGCATGAGAGAAGCCTGTCTATCTATCATTGTAGAAGGCATCCATGTTTAAGGACTACAAATGGTTATATGCATTACATTAAAAATGGGTTATTAATCAAAATGCAAATTGCTACACTGCAAGAGCACGCTCTGAACAAAGAAGTTCCCTGGTTTAAAATGTGTATTATTTACTTTATACTACAGTGAGTCGTTAAGCCTGTGACAGTTGAAAAAGAAAAACAGTACTCCTATTAAACACCTGAAACTATAACCACTCACTGATTAGTTTTAAAAACAGCATTTTACTGAAAGAGATATAAATGAGCTGGTATAAAGAAAAAATGCCACTGATTTCAATATAACAATGCTACCTTACACATGGCAAGGATCTCGCCTGATACGACTATATTCAAGTGTATTAAAAACAAAGCAACTTGTATCTGAAAAGTTACACAGAAAGTACTGGGAAACACATTTTACCATCGCCTTTCACTCCATGTCTAAAGCTAGCTTGATGATTCAAAAAGTGAACAGGCCTTTTCTATTGTTGTTTTTTTTAAATCATGACTGGGCCATCAGTATTGAAGTGTAATACAGTAACTTTGAAGAAATGTCACTGCAACACCTATTTGACAGTTCAATTATTCCTATACAAAGTCTAAATACACAAGAATAATAACTGCTTAAATAATTTCTTGGGTTTGTAAAGTGAATTATACCCCCTGCTGTCAGAAGCATTTTGTCTTCTGATTTGCCCAATTCCATACAGGTCTGCACAAACTCCCGATTACCCTAGTCATTCACTCCTCAGTGACAGAAGGGATTTTATCTGCATCTTTTCCTACAACCATGCTTTTCCAAATATCCATTTTATTTCACTGCGATGACAAATGGCACAAACTTAATTTCAATCCTGCTTGCAGTTCTAACATCGGGCTGTTTAAAACTGTCAGTAATCATAGTAAAGAAAATATGTTTTAATATGAAGGCTGTTGATTTAATTGAGTTGGTGTGCGCTCTTTTTCTGTCTGACTTGGGTTTTTTGCCCAACTTACTTTTTTTCCCCAATTCTTCCAACTAGAAACTCTTCGCTTTGCAGTACAAAACAGTAAGATTCAGAAAGAGAGAACCTGCGACTGCATGGATATTTCAAGAAAGGACAGCTTAAAAAGAAACTAATTCTGAAGTGACAGACAATGCCAGAACTATCAAGAAGTCCATCCCATCTTTCTTTTCTATTACAAAATCTGACTATAGTTAAGAGAAAACTACTTAAAAAAAAAAAAAGCCTCTGTCACTGCCTGAACGGGGCCTCTCCATAGTGACCCTGCCTACCATAGCTAGGGCCTCGACAGGGACCCAGGGGCTACAACACCACGAGTAAGTACAGATCAAGATCGACTCTTGTTCCACATGAGAACGGTGAACACTGACCAAGTTTGCTCTGTCTCAGGGTGCAAACCTGCAGTGATTCAACTGCAGCAGGTGGCGTAAACGTCTTCACGTGAAGTGAAATCACATCCCACCACCTTTTTTCTTCGAATAATGAAATAAAAACAAAAGAGCAGAGAAGTTTCGCTCCCCTGCGCGCTGCTGTTGGTAACCTGCCCAGGCTCTGTCACCGGGCAGCTGGACGCAGGAGCGTTTATTAAACAGACCCGGAGCCTCCGTTCCGGGGTGGCCCCGACCGGGACAGAGCGGGCGGCTCGTTCTACTCCTGTCACCCCTGGAAGCTCACTCGTTACCACCCTTCGTTTCCGAGCTGCGCAGGGGCACCTCCTCGCCTGCCGGCTACAGCCCGCAGCCCTTCCCGCCCGAGGCGGAGCGCCCCGCTCACCTGGCA